ATCATAATGTTATCATTCTGTGAAATGTTGTTTTCCAACAGACAGACCTGAGGCTGTCCTCACTGTGTCTCCATCATGGCCGAGTCCTGGAGCCTCAGTAACTCTGAACTGCAGGGTTGATCATCCTTCTGCTGGCTGGAGCTTCTACTGGTATAAGGCTTTTCCCAAACTGTCGTACTCCTACGGCTATGAGCTGCTACCTGGCAGCGAGAATGGGACTAAACAGGATCTCTTCATCATTGATGGACAAACACACACAGCAGGATATGTGTGCAAAGCAGGAAGAGGAGATCCAGTGTATTACAGTTGGCAGAGTAAACCTAAGTTTGTCTGGTCTGGAGGTCAGTATGTTCTTCCTTTTTCTTTCTTTCTGTAGTTTGTACCACCAAACAAATGTCTTTATCAAAGTTTGCCTGGTCTTGAGGTTTGTTTTGACTTTTCCATTATTGCAAAATGGAACAAAGTCACTTATTTTGGGAACTTTTCTTTTACACCAGCATCAGGTCATAGTTCAGTTTTCAAAACCTTTCTCTAAAACAGAATGATGATTGACTGATTCATCTTCTGGACTTGACTGAATTTGAACACAAAATAATCTCTTTTCATCCTGACACATGAGTTGTTGTTCGCCATGGTTCAAACCTTAGACTTTGTAAATCCAAAACCTAATAATATAAGGCTTCTACAATACATTAGATATAAGTGGTAAGTGTTTTATTTATTTTTTTAGTGAGGAATATGTTTTAAGATATTTATCTGCTGGTTAAATAGTTTAAGACATAAACAATACATATAATTAAACACATTTGTAGTGTGAGATTGAGGCACTGGTACTTTCACTTTTGTTTTCCTCCTACTTTAGTTTGTTCCCGTTTGTTTTTTCAGGGTCAATTAAGTGGCAGTGTTGCCATACCAATGCATTGTCTTTTTCAGTCTGCATGGTTTAAATGTCCACTCTTTGTGTGTTTCAGAATTGAATTCAGCAGCGTCTCTCACAGTGAGTCCTGGCAGTGTGCAGCACTTCACCAAAACGTCTGTGTCACTGAGCTGTGAGGGAAACTCCACTGAGTGGAGAGTGATGACGTTTTCTAAACCTGACTACCTTTATCTCTGTTCTTCCTGGGGGACAATGACTGGATCCACATGCACAATAACCAGCAGCTGGGCTAGTGGAGTGTTCTGGTGTGAGTCTGAAACCGGACAGTTCAGTAATGCAGTCAACATCACTAAATATGGTGAGTTTTAATTATTTAAAATGTTTGTTTCTGAAGTATTATGTTGTTTTGAAATGTGAAGGTGACAACAAGCATTAGCCAAACGTCTCTTCAAATTAGTAAAACTTCCTAAAAAAGGCTAATTTGCAAAGTGATTTCCAGGGTTACTTCTCTCAAAGATCAAAGATAATATTCTGTGTTTTAATGTCCTCATACATCTACCTGACATTTCAGCTTCTGCCAGACTAGGCCAGTTGTGCATAAACATATTAAATCTGCAAAAGCTGATGACTCTGTCAAAGCCTTTATATTCTTTGATTTATTTTCAGATTATGAAATGATCCTGGTGAGTCCTGTCCGTCCTGTGGCTGAGGGACGTTCTGTCACTCTTAGCTGCAAGTTCAAGACAGGAACTGTTCTTTATAATGTGGATTTCTATAAAGATGACAAACTCATCCAGAACGAGACCAGGAAGGAGCTGACCATCTCTGCAGTGTCAAAGTCAGACGAAGGCTTTTATAAATGTAAACAGAGAGATTCAGCAGATGGTGGGACGTCACCAGAGAGTTGGTTCTCAGTCAAATGTAAGTATCATTTAAAAACCCTTCCTTTTTTGTAAGCTGTGTTACAGTCTGAGATAAAGAAAGCTTAGTTTCATCTGAATTAAACTGTGTTTGTTTAAGAGAGATGTTTTATACAGTTAATCTATAACAGGAACGTTTAATATAAAATAAATATTAATAAAGATTACTTATAATAGCAGCGTCCGGGCCTGGAAAAGCCTCTCAATTTCCCATTCTTCTGATCGTTGGGCTGCTTGGTGGAGTTGTACTGATTATTCTCCTGCTGCTGTTCCTGTATTTATACAGAAAGTCAAAAGGTGAGATCATTTTCTTCTGATATCAGATTGACTCTAATGTAACCACACGTAGTGTTTTGACAGTAGGACACTTTGCAAAACATAATAACATAGCAGCAAATGTCTTCTTTTTTTTAACAGATTCATGCTGTATCAGGTTGGTACAACGCTCTATTTTATTTTATTATGAACATGACAGCAGTGATATGTTCCTTTATAAATCCACTTCATTTACTACATGTGTTTTGCCTACCAGATCTCAGAGGACCAATCAGAGCCCTGCTACAGACCACATGATCAACCAGGACGAAACTAACCAAAGGGAATATGCTTCCGTTCTTCAGGGTCAGCCTAAATCCTTAATACATTTTTAATTTTTTGTGAACGTAGCATCCGCGTAGCATTTCCATTTCTCATTGGTTGTTTTTAAAAATGTAGGAGTTCATATAGAGGGATTTTAATATGAATTGGGTTTGATTTTGATTTCTCTTCAGATAATGCCTGTGTCTATGAATCAGTCAAAGACCCTGAAGAACCTGCAAATGGTACAGTATAGTAAATATAAATACTGGAATATGACAATTCAAGGTTCACTCTTTTAAATATAAAATAAATTGTATATTTCAGATGAATCCACGGATGTGACATATTCTGTGGTCGAGCTCAAAAACATTTCTAAGAAGGGTGAGTGTTTGAATTTATGTTGTAACAAAAACATGCAATAAGTGTTGTCTTTTCATGCTTTCTCCTGATCCGTCTAACAGGGAAGAAAAATGAACCGGAGGATTGTGTTTACTCACATGTGCAGATGACATCAGCTGCAGGTATGAAGAAATACTACTTGCTTTAACTTTTTGTTATGGTGCCTTCTAGGGTGTCATTTTTAAATGTGCCACTAGGTGTCGCCAAAGTCAGCAATGTTCAAACCCTACACATAACTTTGTCAATGTTTGTTAAGTTTATTTTCTGTCAATTCTATGCATTCATGAAAAAAACATCAGGGCATATGACATTTCATTCATCTGTTTCCATACATGTATAACTGTTGTGAATCATCATGAGCAATTCCTTCTATCAAACTATCACTTTACCCTCTTGGGAGGAAAATGTATACCAGTACATTTTCATTTTTAACTGGGGGGGAATACTGTAAAAAAATAAATAATAATAATCTCTTAATTCATAGGGAAGTCAAGTCCTGCACCAGCGGATGAAACTGTTTATTCTGAACTCAAACCAGGAACAGCTCTTGGTAAAATTGCAGCGTAACATCATGTAAGTATTGGGATTAATCACTTTATATATTTCATATATTGTTAAATATATTGTAAATGTCAATTCTTTAAAGGATTAAACCTTTTTTCTTCTTTGGTTTTCTGTCAGATCAAACAATGCCTTCTGTAAGGACAAGACGAATGGAAACAACATACCAAAACGAAACCTTTGTTTATTAAACCTTATTTGCAGCTTTGCTCTCCATTTATCATCGAGTATTTTGTACAGTTCATGTAATAGCGGAAAATGTAAAATAAATGCATCGTAAGGCTTTAATCTATGTTTATTTAAAAAAAGTAAGCTTTGTTTTGCATCAATAAACTTGACTTTAATTGCTTCTACATGATTTTTCTTTACACAAGGTGTTTGTTTTGTTTCATCCCTTTTATTTTGGTGACCCAGTACAGTCATGCTTTTAGGTGACAGAAATAATTTAGAGGTGCAAGAGCTGAGATGTGACCAAAAATATGTCACTTTGAATCATCGGCCTTGTTACTAGTGATGAAGCAGAAGAAACATCTAATATTAGAGGTTTACAGGATTTTACCAACAAAACCTGACTTTTGTCTTCTGTTTTTAGACTAACGCATGATAAATGATCAGAATTACAATTGCAATAAACGTCAGGTAAAGAATGAAAAGAGGTTAAATCATTCTGCAGTTGTCTCGATGAACCATCTAACTGTTGGCGTTAAATATATCTGCCTGTGAAACACAAGTATAATACTGCCATCCATTTTTACTTGATTATGAGTTGAGCAAAAATGACTATTTACTCGGCCTTTTTAAAGTGGGATCTTGGTAGAGAGTGAAGTTCAAATGTATCTGCATGGCATGAGCATGAATTAGTCATGCCAATATAAAACAGGAAGGAAAGAGAGACTAGTTATTCTTAGGAAATGTGTAAATAACCAATGAGCTCATGTTGACATCAGATCAGATTTCTTCCCACAGTGCTCTGTCAGTCTTCCTCAATTTTCTTCAAGTGTTAAAGTGGACGTATGTGTAAGAGACAGAGAGTCAGTGTTCGATGTGAAGATGGGACACACTTTGCTCTGCACGCTGGGGTTATTCTGTGAGTACTTTTCAGACCCCTGGGCTAGGCCATTCCCTCAACTAAATGTGCTTCTTCTTTAGCCACTCCTGTGTCGCCTTGGCCGTATGTTAAGGTTTATTGTCCTGCTGGAAGACCCATCCATGACCCATTTTCAGTGTCTTGGCTGAGGGAAGGAGGCTATCGGCCAATATTTCACGGTACATGGCCCCGTACATCCTGTCCTCGATGCAGGGAAGTCGTCCTGTCCTCTTAGCAGAGAAACACATTTCGTCCTGTTGACTGTTGGGCTGCTTTGTGGAGTTTTACTGATAATTCTCCCGCTGCTGTTCCTGTATCTCTACAGAAAATCAAAAGGTAAGAACCTTTTCATCTGATATCAAATGAATTAAACTATAATTACTCAAAATCACACATGACATGTACCGGAAATCTTTGCAATTCAAGAAAAATGTAACTAATCAAAGGTTTTTCCTTTTTTCAACAGATTCAGTCTTCATCAGGTCGGTACAACCCTCTTTTATCTCATTTTGAACATTACAGCAGTTGCATGTTAAAGTCAATACACTTCATTATCTTCATGTGTTTTGCCCACCAGATCTCAGAGCACCAATCAGGGCCCTGGTACAGACCACATGATCAAACAGGACGAAATTCAAAACATGCCACAATATTCTACTCTCCTCCATGGTCAGCCATTGTCCGGTTTAATAATATGATTTATTTTTAACTTTTGGCCTTAATTGTGATTAAAATGTGGCTTGATTCTCACTTCTCTGTAGGTGATCGTTGTCTCTATGAAACAATAGGAGGGCCTGTAGAAGCTGGAAATGGTACAGTATCTGTGTTTAACGTGGAGTAATAGAAATACTACTGCAGTGGCCAGCAGTGTCTAAATAAAGTACAGGAATTGTCCTTTGATACATTATTTTAATCCTTCTAACAGGTGCCAGTAATGAACCAGAAGAGAGCCTTTACTCAAATGTGGCTGCAGGTAATGTCAAGTACAAAACACTTTTATACATATACACATAAATATACTAAAAGCTTTTATAATGTGCTGTGCTGCTTGCCAGTTTCAGCAATGAGCAAATCCACCAAATAAAGCTTTTACACTTTTTGTGCATTGTTATACAGCATGTTGTTTTCCAGTAATGTCTTGGTTTAATGATACATTACTTAAAATATCATAATTATTAAATGGAAAATGTAAATATGTTCACACACAAATGAATTGGCATTAACATACATTGTTTTATTCAAAAATAGACAGTACCATGAGCAGAAATGACCCAATGATAATAACTTATTTTGGTTTTCTTCCAGATCAATAAAGACATCCTCATGGACAGAACCAATGGAGCGGATGAAAACATGAAAAACAACATCCTTGTTTCAGCAATTGAGTGTATTTGCTGCTTTTGTGTAAATAGCGCAGTGCCTTTTAAAAAAAATGCCTTTCTAGGAACATGGTGAATGCTTTGCAATTCAACTGTACTTACTTTCTGTGTACTTATATTTAGTGTAAAACATTGTACTACCACCTTATCTGTTAAATGTCTGATTCAGATCATGTGGCTCGAACCTTGTTGTACATTGAGTGATATTAGAGCCAGATACTAATATATGCAGTATGGACACATGCTTTAGCACTGTAGATGCACACAGTGGACACACAAATATATTATTAATAAAACCCAAATGCAATTATACCTGCATGTACTGTTCAGTGAATGATTCTTACTAGATGCTACCACAGGGTGCCCACAAATGATCTAATGCCTTGAATTTATCTGCAGAAGTAGTCTCTTGCAAAAGCCAAAACATCTGAAGTCACAGCACCACCAATAGGTCAAACAAGCTTTTCAGATTCAAAGGAACTGAAGCACACACCTTTTGTACAATGTATTTGTTTTCTTTCAGATATTTGGGGCCCGTTTTTTGTTTTTTATTTATAAAAATAAAAATAACTTGGTTTACCTTATTTAATTTTTAATAATACAAATGTTCTGTATTGTGTGAAGCAGATTAACCAAAATAACTAAGAACATGATGGAATTTCTCATACGCTTGTCACCAATAGAAAAACATCAACCCACAAATCTTATCTTTATTGCATGATTTCAATGCAATCAAAGCAGTAAAGCCTGTCCAGGAAGAAAACAAGGCAGAACATTTTATATTTTTCAAACATGTTATTGTCATTACAATTTTAAATGGTAACCAAAACCCTTAATGCACTTAAAATATAATATGTTTTCTGCTAGTACTCTCACTTTATTATCTCGTATGATTTCAAAATGTGAATACACGTTACTGTGTTTCTACATTGTCCATGAGCATGGGCGTAATTTCCACTGGGGACAGGGGGGACATGTCCCCCCCACTTTTCAAAATCCCGTTTGTGTCCCCCCCCACTTTTCAAATGTGTTTTCATTTTAATTTGTTGTGTGTGTGTGTGTGTGTGTGTGTGTGTGTGTTTAATTTGTTGTGTGTGTGTGTGTGTGTGTGTGTGTGTGTGTGTGTGTGTGTGTGTGTGTGTGTGTGTGTGTGTGTGTGTGTGTGTGTGTGTGTGTGTGTGTGTGTGTGTGTGCAGTGTTTCCCCTACCAGTGTCTTGGCGGGGCGCTGCGCCCTGCCAACGGAGCCCCGCCTGAAATTCAAGGTGTTTTTTGTTTTTGTTTTTTGTTTTTAATTAAAAATATATATATATAGCACCAAATTGCAACTGAAGTAATCTATCTACGGTCACTTTTCACATTGAACATGTGCTCTTTTATTAAATAAACTAAACGCCTATGTTATTTATCCAATGTGTGTGCATGTTTCAGTGTCCACTGCTTTGCGTATTCACATTCTCCCTCCGCTCTGTTTCTGAAGGGCGGGGCTCACGTAGCGTGCGCATTCTAAAAATAGCTCACAGATGGTGAGCAGGTACCGTGGTTTTGAACTACAGTATTGAATTTGACAGAAAACAACAATGAAACGCCAGCAGAAGAATAGTCTAATGAGTTGGGTGAAAAAAAAGACAGGAGATGTGAGTTGGTTTATTCAGTAAATTAGCTCAGGATAATTGGATGTTCTGTCTCCACCTGTTGATGTGAGGCTAATGCAGGATTTGCTAGCTTGATGCTACCGGCATTTAGCGGCAGTGACTCAACAAATTGCCTCTTAAAATGTATCGTCAGCAATGTATGACAAGCAGACCGCTTGTTTAATGTTAGACTCACACCAACAGCTCAATATGATCATAACACGATTGCTTTCATATCAGAGATCAGATGAGGTGGAGCTGCCTCCAGCAATAGAGGAAGCAGCAGCAGCACAGGGTTGCAGCAGGTATGTTATATGCTGTAGTCAGGCGATTTAAATGTATCAATGAAAGGAAGAAGTGTAGGCTACATGATAAGGGAATACAGTTTGAATAAAAGTAATACAGTACAGTGTAACACTGCAATTTTTAATGTAATGGGGGGGTACCCGAGCAGCACCCTGCCAATGCAGTAAACCTAGGGGAAACACTGGTGTGTGTGTGTGTGTGTGTGTGTGTGTGTGTGTGTGTGTGTGTGTGTTTGTTTGGCACTAGTGCATTTTGACTGAGTGAGAGCAAGCGAGAAAGAGAGAGAGCGCACCAGTTACGGGGATTTTTGTTGTTAGCAGCTGGTGCTAGCTCAGAGCTAACGGACATTAGAAGCTGTTTCTTCAACAAGGAGAGGGAGAGCTCTCGCCTGTCAGACTGAGAGGCTGATAACTACAGCTCCGTGAGGTAAAGGACTCTGAGGGTTTAGATCAGGGGTCGGCAACCTTTTTCATATGAAGTGCCATTAAAAAAAGAAATTCTGATCAGTGTGCCGACAATCGTGAATTGTCAACGGGGGGGGGGGGGGGGAAGCAGTTTGTGGACCTCTTTCACCTGTCAGCGCAACTTATATGATGCCGTTTAAACACATTTAAATAATTGTTTAAACGCCATAATAATAATGACGACCGTCCGTTCTGTGAGTCTCCAGAACACACAGGTGGCCAGTCCGCGCCTGTGTAGCATATGTTAAAGAGAGCGGGGCTGTGTTGCGTGCATGGCTTCCTTCTGCAGGTAACGGGGAGACGCGCTCTGGCGGCGGTCTCGTTCAGGATCCGAAAATAAAATTTAAATATTTGTTCCACTTATTTATTCCACTTATTCCTAGTGTGCCACTGGTGGCACGCGGCACCGTAACCAGCGCCAGGGGTTGCCGACCCCTGGCACTGGTTACGGTGCCGCGTGCCAGGGGTTGCCGACCCCTGGTTTAGATAGTTAACTTTAGACTAAGTTATCTCAGTGGGTCTCAAACGGTTTGGTCACCATTTATGTACATATTTCCAATGCACACCTTTATTTAATATAATTGTAAACAACAAGGTAGGAAATCATTCCAGTGTGTACTATAGGACAGTACAAAATTAAAAATACAGTTTAAAATGGAGTGATTAGTCAAATATGCATAAATAAAAGAAAGAATGCTAACTAGGTAACATAAGATAAGATAAAGATAGGAGAGAGGAGGGACTGAGGTGTTAATAAAATAAACAAGTTTAAATTATTTGTTATTGTTTGTGATCAAGGATTTTTGATTATTTAAATATATACAGTTCTGTTTCATGAGTGTTGAGTGCTGTATCCATAAATCCCTTCATTTCCCCTCAAAGTGCGTGTAAACGTATACAAACAATATGCTGTATGTAGAGAGATGGAAGAAGGGAATCTACTGACGCACTACCGCAAACATTAGTTTGTCCAATTTATGTAAGTATGTTTTACTGAGGATATTTATTTTACTTTTTCTCCAGTCACTGTGCAGTTATAACAGAAGATTTATTTCGATATATGACCACAAGGTGGTGTCAAACTACTTTATCTGATACTTGACCTACTCTACACAAATAGTCCTTCTGAAGTCTGGCAGCAGGGTCTGATGTCATGTAACTCCTAACTAATAACTAAACAATTGACTGCTTACGGTTCACTTCCTTAGCTTAGCACTGATGCATGGAAGTGGAAGCTTTCAATGTTGACTACCCACCACATTTAAAACTACACAGCTACTGAAGTGTCGTGGTATTATTTATTTCAACCATTTTTATGGAATTAACATAATCTTTGTTCGACTGTGGATCAAATGTTGCACCTAGAAAAAACATATTTTCTGTATTCAAATGATTGCTTTATTACTAATGATATAGATATGAAATGTTGCTCCCTTAAAGTAGATAGAGTCTATCTCGAGGAGGGGGCTGGACTTTGTCTCTCTTCACGTTCACTTCTGGTAAAGAGACTGTGAGAGACTTCCTGTGGGTGAGGTTGTTTCTGAACTTAAGCTTGAATTCCTCCATAACACTCCATCACTGCGTTTCAACTATTTGGTTAAAGCTGTTACACACATTTCCATATGAAATATTGGTGAGAAGGCCCATGGATTATAAAGTGAGAATGACGCCTGCAATTGTATCTCCTTCTTAAAACTGTATGCACTTTATTTCTTCTAGAAAGACTTTATGCAGCAGCCTTTAGAGAAGCATCTGTGAAGAATCACGAGCACACAGGATGATCTTATCTACATCAGGAAGGATATGTTAATACCTTATCTCTGTTCATCATTAGAGGATGCCCAAACCAATGTGCAAAAAAATGTGCTGTAGTTCCTGATTGCTTTTCATATGCTGCAGTTTCAGTCTTTTCTATTTGCACAAAGTAGAAGAATTTCTCAGAAGCAGATTATCAGTGTTGGATGTGAAGATGGGACACACTTTGCTCTGTCTACAGGGTTTTTTCTGTGAGTACTTTTCCTGTTTTAATTGCCATTGATAAAACGTTTTAAATGCCTGAGGTTAATATATATTTCTGTCAGTTTGATAATGTCTGATTTAGTTTCATACTTATTTCAGTTCTGAATTTACTTTACCGTGGACAAGCTCAAGGTAATTATACAATTTTCATACTTTTTGTTTACTTATTCTAGACAAATCTACCGATGTAACTCTCCAAACAACATCCGTTTGGTCAATGTATAATACTGTTTTTGACAAAAAGAAAACACATTTTACTTTTTGTATCTTGTAAAGGAAAGCAATATAAAACATTTGTTATTTATGTATGAGCCATGTTGATGTGAACACGCAGTTTGGACAAGTTCTAATATATAATCTGCAAATTATTATAATGTTTTAACGGTTGAACAGCTCCACTGACGCTGTATAGGCAGGTGAAGTATACTGTACAATCCTGTGCTTTTTGTTATCACAAAATAATGAGTATTAAAATAAGAATAAGAAGACAGGGATCAGTTTCTTACATCAAAGCATTTACATAAAGATAATACTTCACCAACAAACCTTGTTATACTTTATTACCTGTGACAAATGGATTGTTTTCACATTGACAGTTTCTGAGAGTAAGTCATTTATTATCAGTTAACCTTTTTTGACTATACAAATAGTATTTTGGTAATTATATTTAAGTACAGTTCACACTTACATTTGTTTTTTACATACTGTATGGAGAAAATATGTAGGATCGAAGGAGTGCATGTAACCCACCAATTATACATCATAATGTTATCATTCTGTGAAATGTTGTTTTCCAACAGACAGACCTAAGGCTGTCCTCACTGTGTCTCCATCATGGCCGAGTCCTGGAGCCTCAGTAACTCTGAACTGCAGGCTTGATCATCCGTCTGCTGGCTGGAGCTTCTACTGGTATAAGGCTGTTCCCAAACTGTCATACTCCTACAACTCCTACCACTCCTACAGCTATGAGCTGCTACCTGGCAGCGAGAATGGGACTGAACAGCATCTCTTCATCATTGATGGACAAACACACACAGCAGGATATGTGTGCATAGCAGGAAGAGAGGATCCAGTGTTTTACAGTTGGCACAGTAAACCTAAGTTTGTCTGGTCTGGAGGTCAGTATGTTCTTCCTTTTTCTTTCTTTCTGTAGTTTGTACCACCATTACGCCAACAAATGTCTTTATCAAAGTTTGCCTGGTCTTGAGGTTTGTTTTGACTTTTCCATTATTGCAAAATGGAACAAAGTCACTTATTTTGGGAACTTTTCTTTTACACCAGCATCAGGTCACAGTTCGGTTTTCAAAAACCTTTCTCTAACACAGAATGATGATTGACTGATTCATCTTCTGGACTTGACTGAATTTGAACACAAAATAATCTCTTTTCATCCTGACACATGAGTTGTTGTTTGCCATGGTTCAAACCTTAGACTTTGTAAATCCAAAACCTAATAATATAAGGCTTCTACAATACATTAGATATAAGTGGTAAGTGTTTTCTTTATTTTTTTAGTTTGGAATATGTTTTAAGATATTTATCTGCTGGTTAAATAGTTTAAGACATAAACAATACATATAATTAAACACATTTGTAGTGTGAGATTGAGGCACTGGTACTTTCACTTTTGTTTTTCCTTAATGATAAAAACTTAGAGGACATTATTCAACTTCTGAAATCCTCCTCCTGCTCCCTTGATATTATTCCAACAGGATTTTTCAAAGATGTTTTTCATTGCATGGCCTCAGATCTACTTCATATAGTAAACACATCTCTTCACTCAGGTATTTTTCCACAGGCACTGAAAACTGCAGTCATTAAACCGCTCTTTAAAAAGAATAATCTAGATGCTTCAGTAATGAACAATTACAGGCCAATATCAAACCTGCCATTTCTAGGTAAAATCATTGAAAAAGTTGTATTTCAACAGTTGAGTAACTTCTTGCATTTAAATAACTGTTTGGATGTGTTCCAGTCAGGATTTCGTCCAAACCACAGCACTGAGACTGCTCTTGTAAAGGTCTTCAATGACATCCACTTAAACACAGACAGTGGCAGAACTTCAGTGTTAGTATTATTAGATCTCAGTGCTGCGTTTGACACTGTTGACCACAACATATTACTAGACCGACTAGAAAACTGGGTGGGACTTTCGGCAACAGTTCTAAATTGGTTTGAGTCCTACTTAAAGGACAGAAAAAACTTTGTTTCTATAGGTAAATACACATCTGAGTTGACAAATATGACATGTGGGGTACCTCAAGGCTCCATCTTGGGGCCTCTTCTCTTTAACATCTACATGCTACCACTGGCTCAGATAATGAAAAACAACAAAATAAGTTACCATAGCTATGCGGATGACACACAAATTTACGTAACAATTTCACCAGGAGACTATGCTCCAATTCAAACACTGAGTAAGTGCATTGAACAAATCAATGACTGGATGTGTCAGAACTTTCTCCAATTAAACAAAGATAAAACTGAGGTAATGGTTTTTGGAGCCAAGGCAGAACGTATAAAAGTTAGCGCTGAGCTTCAGTCTGCAATGTTCAAAACAACAGATAAAGCCAGAAATCTAGGTGTAGTCATGGACTCTGACCTGAGTTTCAACAGTCACATTAAAACAGTTACTAAATCAGCCTACTATCACCTAAAGAACATATCTAGGATTAAAGGACTAATGTCACAGCAGGATTTGGAAAAACTTGTCCATGCTTTTATCTTCAGTAGACTCGACTACTGCAATGGTGTCTTTGCAGGTCTCACTAAAAAATCTATTAGAAAGCTGCAGCTGATTCAGAACGCCGCTGCTCGAGTCCTCACTAACACTAAGAAAGTGGATCACATCACTCCTGTTCTGAAGTCCTTACACTGGCTTCCTGTGTGTCAAAGAATAGATTTCAAAATATTGTTGCTGGTTTATAAAGCTTTGAATGGTTTAGGCCCAAAATACATGTCTGACCTACTGCTAAATTATGAACCATCCAGAACTCTCAGGTCTTCAGGGACTGGTCAGCTTTCTGTCCCCAGAGTCAGAACTAAACATGGAGAAGCAGCATTCAGTTATTATGCTCCAAATATCTGGAACAAACTCCCAGAAACCTGCAGGTCCGCTGCAACTCTGACTACTTTTAAATCCAGGCTGAAGACTTTTCTTTTTGCCGCTGCTTTTAATTGAACTATTCATATCTTAAACTGCACTGTAACTTTTATCCATGTCTTTTTTCTTTTAATGTTTATTTTATTATCTTTTATTTTTAATGACTGATTTTAAATGCCATTTTCTTAATGTCTTCCATTTTTGTAAAGCACTTTGAATTGCTTTGTGTTGAAAGGTGCTATATAAATAAACTTGCCTTGCCTTGCCTTGCTCCTACTTTAGTTTGTTCCCGTTTTTTTATGTGAGATTGAGGCACTGGTACTTTCACTTTTGTTTTCCTCCTACTTTAGTTTGTTCCCGTTTGTTTTTTCAGGGTCAATTAAGTGGCAGTTTTGCCATACCAATGCATTGTCTTTTTCAGTCTGCATGGTTTAAATGTCCACTCTTTGTGTGTTTCAGATTTGAATTCAGCAGCGTCTCTCAGAGTGAGTCCTGGCAGTGTGCAGCACTTCACCAAAACGTCTGTGTCACTGAGCTGTGAGGGAAACTCCACTGAGTGGAGAGTGATGAGGTTTACAAAACCTGACAACCTTTATCGATGTTCTTCCTGGGGGACAATGACTGGATCCACATGCACAATAACCAGCAGCTGGGTTAGTGGAGTGTTCTGGTGTGAGTCTGAAACCGGACAGTTCAGTAATGCAGTCAACATCACTAAATATGGTGAGTTTTAATTATTTAAAATGTTTGTTTGAATCCAAGGAGTGCATGTAACCCACCAATTATACATCATAATGTTATCATTCTGTGAAATGTTGTTTTCCAACAGAAAGACCTAAGGCTGTCCTCACTGTGTCTCCATCATGGCCGAGTCCTGGAGCCTCAGTAACTCTGAACTGCAGCGTTGATCATCCTTCTGCTGGCTGGAGCTTCTACTGGTATAAGGCTGTTCCCCAAAAGTCAGACCACTCCTACAGCTATGAGCTGCTACCTGGCAGCGAGAATGGGACTGAACAGCATCTCTTCATCATTGATGGACAAACACACACAGCAGGATATGTGTGCAGAGCACGAAGAGGAGATCCAGTGTATTACAGTTGGAGTGAACCTAAGTTTGTCTGGTCTGGAGGTCAGTATGTTCTTCCTTTTTCTTTCTTTCTGTAGTTTGTACCACCATTGGGCCAACAAATGTCTTTATCAAAGTTTGCCTGGTCTTGAGGTTTGTTTTGACTTTTCCATTATTGCAAAATGGAACAAAGTCACTTATTTTGGGAACTTTTCTTTTACACCAGCATCAGGTCACAGTTCAGTTTTCAAAACCTTTCTCTAAAACAGAATGATGATTGACTGATTCATCTTCTGGGGCCTCATTTATAAAGGGATATACGCTAAAAAAATGGCGTACGCCAGTTTCTACGCAATGTTTGCGATTTATAAAATACTAACTTGACGGGAAAATGTGCGGTCCTCCACGCAAACTCTAACCCATGCGTACGCACTAAGCACAACAACGGGAGAGACGAGAAACTGCGACACCGTTGGCAGAAGGAAGAATGGAGAGAAATATGTAGAAATAATACCATAAATAAAATGTTACCTCTCATTTATCATTTATGAAGAATTCATTTTCAAACATTGATTAAAGCCAATCTTAAAATGATTAAACAAACGCCTGTTTGAGACTCCTCAGTGCACACAAAAACATAACTTGGAGAAATAAATAAATACGGATATGTTATTTAAAACCACCTCGAATATGTTGTGTTAATGTTATGAAATGTTTTCTCATAAATGATGCGGTAAGCAGGAGGACAGAATAACGTCTAACCTGACGCCGTTTTGCTTTTCTATAGGTTGTAGATACGAGCATGGTTTTATATACTATCACGTTTAATCGTGTTTTATGCCGTTTGCGAAGACTTGATAAGTCGCTCGTAAAACACAGGAGGTATGGAAACTAAGAACACCATATGTGGTAAATTGTACAGCTAATATAACACAACACATTGTATTTCCTTTAACTGGCGGATTATGGATATATAGTTGCTGATCGACAGCTGGAACACAAACCACCAAATACAACAAAATAATTCAGATCCAGTCGTCATGACTCCACTCCGGAGGGATTCCCCGATCATTTCTTAGAGTTTCTCATCAAGGGGGGGTCTCCTGTCCCCGGGACAAACACACTGAGGAAGGTTATGTGTATTTTTTTTGTCATTAACATTTTTCGGACCACTTATTTATTTATTTTGGTGACGATCCGACCTCCATGCTGCTACTCTGGTTCAAACTGCATCCACCAAACAATATGATTTATCTCGACCTCCCCAAAATAACCAAAATCTGACACGGTGTGAGATGTCTTTTTTAGCTGTTCGGTCGTAATTTCCTGCGATCTTCTTCATGCAGTCAGTCTGAATGAATGAATGAATGGGCGTTTCTTTGACTATTTATAGGCAAATATGGGCGTTACAAGTCGATTGTGTTTTATAAAGGGAAACAGGCGTAGGAAGTGCCGTACGCACTTCCCTCGCTGGTACGCAATGTTTTGTGAATCGGAAAATGTCGGAACATTTCTGTACCTATTTTTGTGCTTTGTACTACGTAAGCAACCTTCTCACGTCAATCCTACGCAAGGCGTTATAAATGAGGCCCCTGGACTTGACTGAATTTGAACACAAAAGAATCTCTTTTCATCCTGACACATGAGTTGTTGTTCGCCATGGTTCAAACCTTAGACTTTGTAAATCCAAAACCTAATAATATAAGGCTTCTACAATACATTAGATATAAGTGGTAAGTGTTTTATTTATTTTTTTAGTGAGGAATATGTTTTAAGATATTTATCTGCTGGTTAAATAGTTTAAGACATAAACAATACATATAATTAAACACATTTGTAGTGTGTACTTTCACTTTTGTTTTCCTCCTACTTTAGTTTGTTCCCTTTTGTTTTTTCAGGGTAAATTAAGTGGCAGTTTTGCCATACCAATGCACTGACTCTTTTTCAGTCTGCATGGTTTAAATGTCCACTCTTTGTGTGTTTCAGATTTGAATTCAGCAGCGTCTCTCACAGTGAGTCCTGACAGTGTGCAGCACTTCCCCAACACGTCTGTGTCACTGAGCTGTGAGGGAAACTCCACTGAGTGGAGAGTGAGGAGGTTTATGAAACCTGACAACCTTTATCGATGTTCTTCCTGGGGGACAATGACTGGATCCACATGCACAATAACCAGCAGCTGGGCTAGTGGAGTATTCTGGTGTGAGTCTGAAACCGGACAGTTCAGTAATGCAGTCAACATCACTAAAGATGGTGAGTTTTAATTATTTAAAATGTTTGTTTGAATCCAAGGAGTGCATGTAACCCACCAATTATACATCATAATGTTATCATTCTGTGAAATGTTGTTTTCCAACAGAAAGACCTAAGCCTGTCCTCACTGTGTCTCCATCATGGCCGAGTCCTGGAGCCTCAGTAACTCTGAACTGCAGGGTTGATCATCCGTCTGCTGGCTGGAGCTTCTACTGGTATAAGGCTGTTCCCAAACTGTCATACTACTCCTACAGCTATGAGCTGCTACCTGGCAGCGAGAATGGGACTGAACAGCATCTCTTCATCATTGATGGACAAACGCACACAGCAGGATATGTGTGCAGAGCAGGAAGAGGAGATCCAGTGTATTACAGTTGGCACAGTAAACCTAAGTTTGTCTGGTCTGGAGGTCAGTATGTTCTTCCTTTTTCTTTCTTTCTGTAGTTTGTACCACCATTAGGCCAACAAATGTCTTCATCAAAGTTTGCCTGGTCTTGAGGTTTGTTTTGACTTTTCCATTATTGCAAAATGGAACAAAGTCACTTATTTTGGGAACTTTTCTTTTACACCAGCATCAGGTCACAGTTCAGTTTTCAAAACCTTTCTCTGAAACAGAATGATGATTGACTGATTCATCTTCTGGACTTGACTGAATTTGAACACAAAATAATCTCTTTTCATCCTGACACATGAGTTGTTGTTCGCCATGGTTCAAACCTTAGACTTTGTAAATCCAAAACCTAATAATATAAGGCTTCTACAATACATTAGATATAACTGGTAAGTGTTTTCTTTATTTTTTTAGTTTGGAATATGTTTTAAGATATTTATCTGCTGGTTAAATAGTTTGAGACATAAACAATACATATAATTAAACACATTTGTAGTGTGAGATTGAGGCACTGGTACTTTCACTTTTGTTTTCCTCCTACTTTAGTTTGTTCCCGTTTGTTTTTTCAGGGTCAATTAAGTGGCAGTTTTGCCATACCAATGCATTGTCTTTTTCAGTCTGCATGGTTTAAATGTCCACTCTTTGTGTGTTTCAGATTTGAATTCAGCAGCGTCTCTCAGAGTGAGTCCTGACAGTGTGCAGCACTTCCCCAACACGTCTGTGTCACTGAGCTGTGAGGGAAACTCCACTGAGTGGAGAGTGAGGAGGTTTATGAAATCATACCTTTATCCCTGTTCTTCCTGGGGGACAATGACTGGATCCACATGCACAATAACCAGAAGCTGGGTTAGTGGAGTGTTCTGGTGTGAGTCTGAAACCGGACAGTTCAGTAATGCAGTCAACATCACTAAAGATTGTGAGTTTTAATTATTTAAAATGTTTGTTTCTGAAGTATTATGTTGTTTTGAAATGTGAAGGTGACAAGCGTCAAACGTCTCTTCAAATTAGTAAAACTTCATGAAAAAGGCTAATTTGCGAAGTGATTTCCAGGGTTACTTCTCTCAAAGATCAAAGATAATATTCTGTGTTTAAATGTCCTCATACATCTACCTGACATTTCAGCTTCTGCCAGACTAGGCCAGTTGAGCATAAACATATTCAATCTGCAAAAGCTGATGACTCTGTCAAAGCCTTTATATTCTTTGATTTCTTTTCAGATTATGAAATGATCCTGGTGAGTCCTGTCCGTCCTGTGGCTGAGGGACGTTCTGTCACTCTTAGCTGCAAGTTCAAGACAAGAACTGTTCTTTATAATGTGGATTTCTATAAAGATGACAAACTCATCCAGAACGATACCAGGAAGCAGCTGACCATCTCTGCAGTGTCAAAGTCAGACGAAGGCTTTTATAAATGTAAACAGAGAGATTCAGCAGATGGTAGGACGTCACCAGAGAGTTGGCTCTCAGTCAAATGTAAGTATGATTTAAAAACCCTTCCTTTTTTGTAAGCTGTGTTACAGTCTGAGATAAAGAAAGCTTAGTTTCATCTGAATTAAACTGTGTTTGTTTAAGAGAGATGTTTTATACAGTTAAAGGTGGGGTAGATAATTTTGGAGAAACCAGCTCGAGTGCGCTAGAATTAGAAAATAAACAACCGGAAAAAATCTGCCACTTCCTTACAGAGCCCCTCCTCCAACACACACGAACGCGCACATGACCAATGAGGGCACGAGATAAGTTTGTGCACAGATGGAAGGCTGACAGGCAGGTAGGCCATCCAGTTATTTTAGCCGGGCCGGCTAAAATGATTGGTCGTGCTTTTTACAGTACTACGGCTTCCACAGATGACATTTCTTTATGGATTCTTTGTCAAAGCACTTAAGATATTCATTGCTATCGGGATGGTAAGAGCATTCCATAGAATCAGTGTGCGAAAAAGCACACGTCCCACCGTCCGGGACGTGTTATTTACAATGTCGGACAAGTAGATCTTTCAATTGACTTGTCCGGCGGACAAGTGACGTTTTTAGCCCTCATTTATTGACAAATTATTGATAAACTCAGTTTACAAAAGGCAGAACTCATTCGCAAATTGTCCGTGTCCGCCATTGTTCGTTTAGAAATGTTAGTTTCGGTTCTGCTTGTCGATTCCAAGGAAATGCATCTCGCCGCTTTCTGTACTGTTGGGGGCGGGGCGGTGCGGGACGTGTAGCACAGTGGCAGGGTTGGGAAGCAAAACTCGGTGCCGAGTAGGAACAAATAACAATTGTCCGGTACCGGGATTAATAAGAGTTGTGAGGACAGGAGGCCGAGCCCCGCGGACCGCAGCTCTCTCTCTCTGCTCCGGATCATCGGATCGCTGCACGGTGCAGCTCAGCGTCTCTCTCTCTCCCTCTCTCTTTCTACACACAGCGGACCCGCTGCCCGTTTAACAGCCTAATCTTTGTCAAACTTTCTTATGTTCTGTCTCTAACACGTAATGAAGGTTATTAAGCGTTTTAGCTCCTATGTTGTTAATATTGACCGCCATTTCCTTTATGAAGTAAAGCAGCCTCCCTGTCTGTGTCCTCGCGCTGTCCTCACATCCCCCGACCCCCAGACTCGGAGGAGCACAGGGATGTCCGTATTGTTTATGAAGCAGGGTATAGAAAATACATTATTGAAATTCAAATAGTATTTATTTACTTTTACAAACAGTGAGCAGCTGCAGCATGTGTATTGCAGGACATGTGTAAGCATGCAAGCGTCTTTGAGTTGTAGACAAGCGCTAGGCCTATAGGCTATAAATATAATGTATTATTATTATTATTAGGCCTATGTGTTGGACATGTGTGGTTGGACTCTGTCTCACAGGCAGGTTGCAGTGTAACATCAGAGGAGACTGGGCCAAATTCTCAAACTGCACCACATAGAACTAACTAAACAATGCAGAGATTATTTTTATATAATTGTATTCAATAACCATAAGAAATTAAACAGTATGAAGTGATTTCTAAATAGGAATACAGATTTGACTTAATGTTTTCATAAATATGTTTTTCTCCCAGTTTGTCATGGCACTTATTTTTACCCTCTCAAAGAACCGGAATCGAGAACCGAAAATAACCGGAATCGAAAAGCAGAACCGGAATCGTTAAAATCCAAACTATACCCAACCCTACGTATGTGTGATGCAGTAAAATCTTACCGCTCACTTACGTTAGCGGTGTCGTAAAAAACGTGGTAAAATGTAAAATACGTTGGCGAAGAAGAAGATTCCAGTGGCCCCAATTTTTCCATTCTGGACAAGTGAAAAATGTATTCGGACAAGTAAATTGCCAAACTCACTTGTCCATGGACAAGTACTCTCTAAAAACTTTTTCTCACACTGAGAATATAACAAAAAGTGTATCACGAGCCGGTTTCTCAAACTTACCTACCCCCCCTTTAATCTATAACAGGAACGTTTAATATAAAATAAATATTAATAAAGATGACTTATAATAGCAGCGTCCGGGCCTGGAAAAGCTTCTCAATTTCCCATTCTTCTGATCGTTGGGCTGCTTGGTGGAGTTGTACTGATTATTCTCCTGCTGCTGTTCCTGTATTTATACAGAAAGTCAAAAGGTGAGATCATTTTCTTCTGATATCAGATTGACTCTAATGTAACCACACGTACTGTTTTAACAGTAGGACACTTTGCAAAACATAATAACATAGCAGCAAATGTCTTCTTTTTTTTAACAGATTCATGCTATATCAGGTTGGTACAACGCTCTATTTTATTTTATTATGAACATGACAGCAGTCATATGTTCCTTTATAAATCCACTTCATTTACTACATGTGTTTTGCCCACCAGATCTCAGAGGACCAATCAGAGCACTGCTAGAGACCACATGATCAACCAGGACAAAACTAACCAAAGGGAATATGCTTCCGTTCTTCAGGGTCAGCCTGAATCCCTAATACGTTTTGATTTTTTTGTGAACGTAGCATCCGCGTAGCATTTCCATTTCTCATTGGTTATTTAAAAAAATGTAGGAGTTCATATAGAGGGATTTTAATATGAATTGGGTTTGATTTTGATTTCTCTTCAGATAATGCCTGTCTCTATGAAACAATCAACAAAGAACCTGCAAATGGTACAGTATAGTAAATATAAATACTGGAATATGACAATTCAAGGTTCACTCTTTTAAATATAAAATACATTGTATATTTCAGATGAATCCAGGGATGCGACATATTCTGTGCTCGAGCTCAAAAACATTTCTAAGAAGGGTGAGTATTTGATTTCTATGTCGTAATAACATACAATAATTAAGGTGCTTTTGTAGGCTAGCAGTGCCTAAATTAAGTGAAGTATTGTCTTTTCATGCTTTCTCCTGATCTGTCTAACAGGGGGGGGAAATGAACCGGAGGATTGTGTTTACTCACATGTGCAGATGGCATCAGCTGCAGGTATGAAGAAATACTACTCGCTTTAAGCTTTTGATATGGTTACGTGCTGCCTGCTAGGGTGTCATTTTAAAATGTACCACAAGGTGTCGCCAAAGTCAGCAATGTTCAAATCCTTAACATAACTTTTTCAATGTTTGTTAAATTTATTTTCTGACAATTCTATGCATTCATGAAATAATCATCAGGGCATATGACATTTAATTTATCTGTATCAATACATGTTTAACTGTTGTGAATCTATCTAACTAACTTTAATTTGATATTGTGTCAATCGGAATGACTGCTTTTTACATATAACAAAACCAACAACACAAATAATTGTTTTACTTTCAACAAATGCAATATATGCATGGATTAAACATTCACTTTTTAGGCTTGTTTAATCTCTTTTTGCATGCAATGTCTTTTACAGTTTTCACGGTTTGAATGTCCCCTTTTTGTTTTTCAGATTTGAATTCAGCAGCGTCTCCCATAGTGAGTCCTGACAGTGGGCAGCACGTCACCAAAACGTCTGTGTCACTGAGCTGTGAGGGAAACTCCACTGATAATCCATCATAACATTTATGTCAAAAACTGAGTTTTCATAGAGTGTATGAGAGCTACAACCCAGCTTCCGGTTTTGGGCATGCTGGCTACGCATCACTCATTCACCAATGGGTAATGTTTAGATGGATTTTAGGAACTTCCCCTCGATTATATTGGCTCTAACGGTTAAAAAGAGGTGTCAATCGTCAAAATCGAACTAGGAGGTCCATAGATATGGAAAATGCACCCAAATGACCCCAGAAGTGGTTTTCTTTTTCTAAATCTCTCTAAAAAGGTCAAATGTCACTTGTTTCGCATCAATCTTGATACAGGGTACTTATTATATGTTATAGTTTGGATTCCTAAAGCTTTTAGTCTACTATCCCATCATTCAAGGGTGGTTTTTTGTGTGAGGGTGATGTGTTTTCTTTTGGACGGACACTATCATTTAATCTTTTTTACTATGTTCAATCTGAATTTACTTTAAAATAAAAAAATTCTATATTGATTCTGACTTTTCTACATTCAACTCACAGGTTTATCATTGCTTCGAGAAAAAAGATTATTAATTTACCCCTTTTAGAAGTTAAGTTATATCTCTCACAGGCTCCACCCTCTACTGGACTCTATGGGTACTCCCCTCGATCCTATCATGCAAGCATTCATCCACTGAGATTAGGCTTGTTTGAGACAAGCGAGACCTGCGCAGACCTGCGCAATTGCGATCAACGTCTTGCTAGTGCGTTGCATGATGGTTAGTCATTTTGTCCGACTTGCTCTGGAGGCTCGCCTACATGAGACCTTGAAATCTCGCGGGACAAAGACGCCCGCAGACTTGAGAGCGAGGCGCGGCGCGGCGGCGCAGTTTCTCTCCACGGGCTGCGGAAGCGAAATGCTTGATGGGAAACGACTTGCTGGTATCTCGAGCTGAGCGCTCATTGGTGGGTTTTACCCCGTGCTGGGGATGAAACTCTCCATTGGCTCGGCAAAAGTGTGTTGTTGTTTTGTGTCAGTTTTACATCGCCACTTCCATTCACATTTTTCATCATTGTTCCACAATGTTTATCATCATTAAATTAATATCTATATATTTGTATACTATACTTGCACTGCTTACCGTTGTCATACTTTATATATCTTAGCATATTCATACAACACACTGTTAATACTAGGCTAGGCTACTGTGTATAGTGTATTCATACCCCTCACTGTTTTTTCATCATTCAATTCATTCTATATTTTATTCTGTAGATTGTGTACATTACTTTTCACTTTACTGCTTTATGCACTCCTGATTCGAAGCTAAACTGCATTTCGTTGTCTCAGTACCTGTAATCTGTGCAATAACAATAAAGTTGAATCTAATCTTGAGCAGGAACAAATGTATTTACTGACATTAACGATTAAACACATTTGTCCATTCTTTATCAATCAATCAATCAATGTTTATTTATATAGCCCAATATCACAAATGTTACATTTGTCTCAGTGGACTTCACAGTTTGTACAGAATATCAGTATGACAATACGACACCCTCTGTCCTTACGTTTCACATCATACAAGGAAAAACTTCCAGAGAAAAACCCAGTTTAAAGGGGAAATGGGAGAAACCTCAGGGAGAGCAACAGAGGAGGGATCCCTCTCCCAGGACGGACAGACGTGCAATAGATGCCGTGTGCATTTATAAATGCAAACCGAGTCAAGCCGACTCCGGAGGTGGCGGTATGCACCTTAAAGTTGTTTGAAATCCGCCAAAAAACCGAGAGAAGAAGAAGAAGAAGAAGAAGAAGCCGACTCCGAGCTGTCCGACTTCAGGCGAGTTTTTTGAGACCTCCCCCGGCTGCGATCGGCTATTCTCCTCTACTTTCGAGGCGAGCCGCAGCTCGTCTCAAACAAGCCTACTTTCTAGACGTAGCCGGCCCCTGGGCGGGCCTACCTGAATGCGCGCGCATCTCACCGCATAAAAGGAGGCCTCGCCTCCTTACTGTCATCCCTTTCTCTTCAGCAAGGCAGTGAGATACAACTGAGTGAAGAGAGACGGATAAGAATATAAGACAACGAAGAAAATGGACTTACTATTGGAGCGCCCCTGTCCTTCGTGTCCCGGTGGCTACTTGGGCTGGAATCCTCAGAGTGGAGGGCCACTCGGACACGGAGGGTCCCGGTGTGCCCCCACTGGATGAAAGCCTGGCGGCCCATCTGCTTCCGCAGGCAGCCGGGTGGGCAGAGGGGAGAAGGCCCCTGCCCCCCATTGCCGCATGACCGCGAAATGCTTGAGTATCTGGATAAGATATTGAGGCTCGGGGCGCAGATGGCGGCGGCGGCCAGTAATCTTGGTGTGTTGGGAGTGTCGCTGATTACCCCTCAGCAGGACACCTCCGAGACGATCTCCTTGGGGCCCCCGTTGTTATTGTTTTTCTCATATTTTTTTTTTATGTCTCTTAAACCGTTATCCCGACTTTTATCTTTTTTTATCTTCTTTTCACAAGATACTTTCTCGTGCGCACGAGATACTAACCCGTTATCCCGACTTTTTTTTTTTCTCTCTTTTTTTTTTTTTTCCCATGTCCCTTTAGGGGCTCCGTAGACTCTAGAGACAAACCAGGGGACTTTATTTTTAATCTGTGTCTGTCCATTTGGTGTAGTATTTTATCCAATATTACATTTTGTCTATATATTAGTCACTTTCTTATGAAATGCCAGGTTTTAGGCCTTGGTTTGAACATTCAATCCTGAAAATGAAAAATATACAGTCTATGGTGTGAACGCGATCTGCTCTTTAGTTCATCAGAACTCTTTAGTTCTGATGAACTAAAGAGCAGATCGCGGTGTAAATTACGGCAAATTACTTGGTGTGAAAGCGCCTAAAAATTTGTACGATTCAGTATCTGTTCACACAGCAATTACGAGAGCCCACAGGAAACATTATATTTAAAGTTATAGCTTGTAGCCTACATACTGTGACGACCCCTCCACACCACTAGGCGTTCCGTGGTCTCTCTCTTGTTTGCAGGTTCCAGTGCTGTGGGTGATCGTGGACTGACGAGCTGCACCTGGGCGGCTGCTATAATACAGCCCATCGCGTTTCGGGAGGCCCTCTCTCATTCCTCTCGCACACTTCCCGTGTAAGCCTCGCGCCGCGGCTGTTTATTTTTGTGTCCACTAATAAATTATTGTTATATTTTCATACCCCTCGTCTCGACTCCCAACTTTTTGTTACAGCCCACGAGTCAGGTTGTAACACATACAAAATGTACATTATAATTATGTTAAAAAACGATTTCATAAATGTTTATTTTCTGCTCATATGTGGTCCATGTTTCGGTAAGCCATCAAGTTGATTTCCGTTGAGTATAACTATTATTAAAGATTGATATAAAATAAAAACTGTATATATTTAAATGCCCTCTTTATACCTCTATACTAGTATTTCCTGTGAAGTGTCATGCAAATGTATGTGTAGTCATTCAAAGGAGAGGATGTTCAAAAATGGCGTTTATTTAAAAAAGAAAAAAAAGAAACAAGAAGACCACCATGCTGACTTCTGCCTACTGAACAGAAACATTGTAGATAGAAAATGGCGTTGGACGTTCGTTGACACAAAGCTCCTTATTAAAATAAATAAATACAATATCCTCCCCGAATCAGTTTCTCTTCACAGGAACACAGAGAAACCCGTCCCACCGCTACACACCAGAACAAAGTCAGAGAACATTTGACACATTTAGCTTAAACTCCACACAGTGTCATCCAGACGTTAAACAGACGTGATGTTCAGAGCATCAGATTCAGTGTCACGTAACAATTACACAAATCATGTCAGTAGTGTTCAATGTTCACTAACGTAGGTAAATATAACTGGAAATGAAAAAGCTTCCATGGTTATTATGGTGCTTTTATACAATCAGTGCCTTCACTGAGGGGGTGATCTCTGGAAGAGTCACGTAACAGAATAAATATATATATTAAAGAGGAGTGTTACAGTAATGCCGAATTGTAGTGCCAGGCCCAGGGTCAGTTAGCATTTTTAGCCGCGGGATTCCTCTACAGATTTCCAATGCTTTTCTCATAGAATTTGTTATTTATTTGAGAAATAATGTGGTTCAATTAAGAGTTGTACTTGTTGTTCTTCCTTATAAATTGTAGCTGTAAATGTGATACAGATGAGAAGACAGATATTGTCATGTCTGTGCTTCAAGTATAGAACCGGGAGGCGATTAGCTTAGCATAAAGCTAGTACACAGCTATCAAATGTATTTTTTTACACCACCTATCAACATTTCTAAGGTTTATTGATAAGGACATTGAGATACAGTAATGCCAAATGTTGGATTTGGAGTGATGTTTGTGCTATAACTATTTCTTGACAAACAACTGTTTATGGTGAAAGCTAATACAAATCCCTCTAAGACCATCATTTGTCATTTTTGCAACAAAAAAATTATTTGTAGCAGGATTAAACTTGTATTGGAAATCTGCTGTGCATGCAAACCCACGGTAAAACAATAACAACAACAAATCTGGGCTGGCCTACAACACATACAAACAAAAGCAAATGTTCATTTTGACATTATGGACACAATACAAATTCTCGTCAGTCATCAGTCCTTATTTAAATAAAATAAAAGTGTCTTCCAGAGGGCACATATTCAAACTGAACCATCCCAAAATTAAAATTAAAATGTCCGACCCTTTACCCTCCATTAAACAAGGAACCAGACCCTAACTTCCTTGTTTATCTTCCTAATGCAGTGAAACAGGAGAGCTACACCTGTAATCTGCCAACTTATTACACACATGTCCTTCCCACAGGCCGGAGAACATAGAAATCATAAACCATGAGAAATGCTGGTGTGAGGAAATGTGCGACAAATCTGGATGTGCTTCTAGAGAGAGGAAACTACACTGAGCAGAGACGCTGGATGCTTTTATTTTAAGAGGGTCCTGTTTAAAAGCTTAGCGACCGTCAGTGACTGGTTATAAGTCGGCCGGTTCTTAGCTTGGCTCAGTTTCAATCGCTGTCCTCAGGATAATCCTAACTACTGTACGCTAGATGTGGCTTCTCATGCTTTCTTCACCTGACATTAGAGTGAGGAAACAGCTATGCTGAGAATAACTTGTGAATATTTAAGCAGCCTGGGAGATCACCTAGTCGGTTTAATTTGATCTCTGCGGTGGTGCTGAGGCTGTTTAAACAAATCCTCTCGTCTAAGTTGAACGAGGATACAAACACTGCTGCTCCTGAACAACGTCTACTTGTGTTGTGTGGCGACAGCTTATGACTTTTATGGATTGCAGAAATTAAAATGATTGAACGTGTAATGCCAACATGGTCCCAAAGAAATAAAGAAAACGGAATAACGTGTAACAGGGTGTAGAGATGAGAAGGGTTGTTAGCAGTAACAGTCTAAAACACACACTGAGCTTCTAGACTTTCACAGCTTAGCGATCGTAGCATTACATTAGCACAAAGCTAACTTAAATCTGCACTCTATTAGAGGAATATCACATTTTAAGTGACAAAAGATATTTTAGTTTGAATCAAATTCGACACAAATGGAAATAGAGCTTTTCCTCATCATGAGTGGTGTAATCTGAGTTCATGTGATGCAGATTTTCCGTCAGTTTTCTGCAATTTACACTTAGACTGGTGTAGGAAAAGCTTTCTACTACATAGAGAAAGGTATGACCCTGTCCCTTTGGTCAGATGAAGTCTTATTCCACACTCAATTGGGGTTATTTTAACATAATTGTTCACAGATAAAACAAGCAGTTGTTCACCAGCGCTCATCAGCTCCAAATGAAACACAAAGATGGAGAAAAAATTCACAAGAGCAAAACTAAAACAAGTACAAATCCAACTGTAAGTCAGCATTCTCCATCCCACTTGTGTCAGTTCAACATGAAGCAGGCGGTAAAAAAAACTAAGTATTGCACTGGTTGGGTGTGAGTCTATGGATGGGCGGTCATCATATAAATAACAACAACAAGAACCAAACAGTTTTTACCATAATAATAATAATAATAATAATAATAATAATAATAATTGCAATGCTAATAAAAACAGTTCAGACTCTGCTGGTTTACCACTGCTGCCAGCTGAAGTCGTCGTTGGATCCGAAGACGATGAAGAAGCCCAGGATGGTGCTGAAGATCACCACGTTCCCCGTTAGCACGAGCGCACACGCCCCCCAGGCGATCTGAGAACAAACGCATCAATAATTCACGTTAACAAATGCTGCGCTGAATGCTGCCAGGCCTCAGCGCATATTGAGGGCAAAATATACCGGCTGTCAACAGCAAGAGTTTACAGAAACACTTCCACATACTGCTCTACGATGAGATGTCAACAGCAAGAGTTTACAGAAACACTTCCACATACTGCTCTACGATGAGATGTCAACAGCAAGAGTTTACAGAAACACTTCCACATACTGCTCTACGATGAGATGTCAACAGCAAGAGTTTACAGAAACACTTCCACGCTGTTGTTGTGTTCAGGAGGAGACGTTAACAGCGGCTAAATGCTAATCATGTCAAACTGCAGCCGGTACCTCCGTCTTTCAGGGCTTCTGCTATGTGGCCAAACATGTTTTCTTTTACAGTAATTTTTGTTAATTCACTATCTGGTTTGACTGTTTTTTCCTCAATGGGATATGGCTGTATCACGTAGTCCTGTTGTGTTATAAAGTAAGACTTATCTTAAAATGGAAAAGGTTCTTGAGGATTTCGAGTAAATTGGGGTCATGTTTAATTGAACAAACCTATCTTAAAACACCCAGTTACAAACTCTGTACATTTTTATGAGGTGTTTTGTGATTAAAAGTCATTTCTTTACCCGATTGCATGTGCAGTGACCAGAGGACTAGATACAAATACAGCAAGAGATATGTGTGAGTTTGTAAAGTAATGCTTTGATTACGGCTACAACAGACCTTTCCTTTTTTATTAAATCGATTGGACTTCAACATATCACATCGATTTAATAGAAAATAGTAAAAAATGTCCGTTCCAGTTTCTCAAAGTTCAAGGTAAGGTCTTCAAATGTCTTGTTTTGCTAATCCAAAATCCAAATAAATTCAAGTTGTTAATGTTATTGTCGTCAAATCCCATAAAAACACCAACACTTAGTGGCTTCTCTACCCTCTCTGTTTCACTAAAAGGCCAAATAGTTTTCCTTAAACAGCTAATCCCTGCATCTTTCTGCAGACGTTACACAAACAGGGAAGAAATAGTGCGGATGAATCCACATGTGGAGCTCTGGTGAGTGTTTGGGGCAGAAGCAGAGTTTCCGTTAGCTGGTAATTACCGGACTTTGACCGGCAAATCTAAATCTCTCCGGTCAAAATAATTTCCCCTTAGCGCAATACCGCATCAGACAAGAAGAGTATGTGACAGACAAGAAGAGTCTGTGACAGACAAGAAGAGTATGTGACAGACAAGAATAGTATGTGACAGACAAGAAGAGTATGTGACAGACAAGAATAGTCTGTGACAGACAAGAAGAGTATGTGACAGACAAGAAGAGTATGTGACAGACAAGAATAGTATGTGACAGACAAGAAGAGTATGTGACAGACAAGAATAGTCAATTCTAATGTCTAACACTTAATGTGGAGAAAGAGATGTCCTGTATGGTTTGATTGTGCGTTGATCTATTGGTAATGCCTCGGGGTTCCGGTGAGCATGTAAACAAATGCATAATGCTGCGCTATACTTTGCTGCCTCACCCGGTTGCATAGCGACGCTTATTGTTTAGGTATCTTTTAATAAGCAGGTAGTCATATCATTAGCTAGAACTAGCTAGATCTGATCGATATGGACATAAACGCGAGTGAAGTCTAATCTGACGGGAGAGATCAGCTGCTGCTGACGAGTCGACACGCAGCTCTGCATGATCATCTGCAGCGGTGAGCAGAGCAACACATACACTTCAGGTTAGAATATCACATAGCTATTTTAATTACCTCTCAAACTACCTAAACTAGTTATAGATATGTTTAGTTTTACTGTCGGGTCACTCATTACTGGATCCGCAAGCTGCATGATACTGACGGCCTGCCAGGAGAGACAGAGAGCGCTCTGTTTATTATTCCCGTGTTATTGTAAGTTACTGTACACTTTTGAATAGGGAAGTTAATCTACTATAATTAGTTTGTTTAATATCGAATCATAACAATTTGTTTTAAAGCTCAATAAATAACAAAGAAGACCTTTGACCGGCACTTTTCTACTTTTGTCTGGAAGATTTAAACTTTAACGGACATGTTGACCGGCAAAATAAAATTCTAACGGAAACTCTGGGCAGAAGGCCAGTCAATTTGGGATTAATTCAAAAATAATCTTCAATGTGTGTTCAGTGTGGCTCACTGATGTGTTTGTAACAATAGAGCTCAAGGAAAGGAATAATATGTTAGGGTTTAGCTACACAAACAAGTTGTAAATGATTATTGGTCGTGGATTTTGTTCTTCTTTCCTTACTACATATACTCTGGAATATTCTTCTTTGCATCAGATGTTTTTGCTAATTTAATCAAGCTCTTGTAAATAAACACTGTTGACACGACATGAGAGACACTTATTTTGAGCTTCCCAAGTTGTCCTGGTGTCAAAACGTCAGCTTTACCCGCAGAGTATTACAAAGAGTGAGGGATTAAGAGGTGATTTCAGGTCTGTCATGAGGGGAAAGGTGTGTGAAGGTGTGAAGGTGTCCTTGGGCAAGACACTTCACCTGAATTTGCATCCGTGGGTATTGTCCACAGTACATGACCGTTACATGTATGATATGTGTGTAATGTGTATTTGTAAAGCGCTTTGAGCATCTGGAAAAGCGCTATAATAAATGTAAGGAATGATTGATGCTATATAATACACTTTGTGTGCTTTATATGACAATTTTCCCAGGAGGCGAAAGTAATGGGTCTCTGATGTTACATTTGTTATGATGTGTTTTAAATGTGTGTAATTTTTACCCTAGGTTTCCTGCTTTGGCAAAGTCTTAAAAAACGGTGTGTTTGTGTACTATTGTGAAATGCACTGAGAGGCTTCTGTGACTTACTACAGCAGCTCTGGCGAAGACGATGGGCAGGCCGAAGGCTGAGATGACGATGCCCGTCGTGAGGAAGATGGCCAGCTCTTTGCAAGCGTTGCTGGCCGAGTCTGTGTCGTCCACCACCCTCCGAGAGATGCAGTACGGGATGGGGGACAGGATGTAGAAGAACAGGAGGAACAAAGGCCAGTATTTACTGTAGAAAGAGGGAAAAAGTAAACATAAGTTAGTCATTTAAAAGGTAGGTTAGGTAAGAATGGAGAAACCAGCTCGAGTGCGCTAGAATTTGAAAGTACACAGCCGGAAAAAATCTGCCCCTTCCTTCAGACTTCCTTACAGAGCCCCTCCTCCAACACACACGAACGCGCACATGACCAATGAGGGCACGAGATAAGTCTGTGCACAAGATGGAAGGCTGACAGGCAGGTAGGCCATCCAGTTATTTTAGCCGGGCCGGCTCAGATGATTGGTCGTGCTTTTTACAGTACTACGGCTTCCACAGATGACATTTTTGTATGTATTTATTGTCAAAGCATTTAATGTATTCATTGCTATCGGGATGTTAAGAGCATTCCATGGAATATAACAAAAAGTGTTTCTGAAGTGAATTACCTACCCCACCTTTAAGTGGACATGTATTATGAACACGAACAATCCGAGAGGAATGCGTCTAGAAAGTGGTGGTACATATATTTGTAAGAAAAGTGCTGAGGAAAACTGGAACAAAGATGGTGACTCAAACAAAAGCCTTCAAGTTGTTAAATGTGCCGGAATAATTTGTTTATCAATGCTTGTATATTTCAACAATACTGCCATCTTTTTGATCACTATAATTGTGATATTATTTGTTTTACTGTTTCATCTCTACCTCAGGGTTATCCACCATAAATATAAAACAAAAGACACAACAACATGAACAACTAGATATCAGAATATAACGTATATTGTTCTTTGTGTCATGTGGTTTGGTTAGCACTTGGTGAGGCTATATTTACAACAAGGCATTTCAAAGTGCCGTACAATTAAAACAAAACAAACAACACATTATATAGTGACATTTAAATACATTGATAACAGTTATATTGGAGCCCCCAGACAGGTTAATCCGACCGTGCTCCACACCTGCATCTAAAGCTGTAAACCTATGATGGGATCACCCAGAGTGCATGTGTGTGAGTGCCAAGTGTGAAAGAGTTCCCCCCCCCCCACACACACACACACACACACACACACACAGGCTCACATGGTGTGTGATAGTGATACTTACTCGTACACAGGGAGGGCACATCCTAGCATGAGGAACATGAGGCCGATGGCCCCCCCGAAGGACAGGCTGATGAGAGCTAAGAGAAGAGAGGAAGAGGGGAGGGTATTAAGCATTTCACTACCCTGCAGAATACAAAGTCATTACAACTAGCTGCACCTTTACACATCAATCCATCAATAATTATAATCAAAACATATCATATATATTACTATGAAATGTGCCAATCTGCATAATGAGTACTGAGTATACCAAAAGTCTGAAAAAAAAATGGTTTCGATGCTTATACTTTTGTACTCTTACTTGAGAAACATTTGCAAGAGCGTAGATATACTCGGGTACAAGTAAAATTCCTGCATTGCAAGAGTCTAGTAGGTCTAATTTTACTAAAGTAGAAGATCTGAGTACTTCTTCCACATCTGCAAGTACCTCAACATTTTTACTTCCAATACTTGAGTACATGTACTATATTACTATCCACCACCACTGCCATCACATCCTTGCAGCAGGCCCCCTGTAGCTTCTCATGTGATGAATCAGCTGATTTCACGTGTAACAGCTTCATTTGCAGTCTAAGCCGGGTCATTAGGGACTCCTGTTAAACTCTGGGAGCATTACAGTGAGTTTACATGCTGGTTTAGAAGAACATAATCCCGGCAGATCACTGCAGAAAGCACAGCATCTCAATCAAGTTAGGGTGCAGCTAGCATTAGCATTATAACGGTATCTACCACGTTATTGCACTGTTACAAGAGGAGGGGGAATAAAATACACCATCGTTATGTAACATGAGAGCTGCTTGAGTGTCAAATAACGTTATTGTTCATTTCATTGTGTTGCTGTGGATTTTCCTAGCCAAATGAATAAAGGCTAGAATGCTAACGATTCTGCTGCATGGATGTATAAAGAGAACTGGATACCCCGTGCATTGCTATGAGAGTTACTCAGTAGCGCGTGAAGATCAAAATAAAGGGACTGTAGATTCAGAAAGTACCCGGATCATCGGGGGACCTGGGCCCATTGAGCATGCGCAGTTGAGTTTCCCCTTAAGCCCCGCCTCCTATACCCCTGCTCCCAGCTAAGTAAAATAAATTGAAAGGGAAAATAACTCCATTATACATCTGTTAGACCCTTTAAATACGGCCTTTAAAAGTGTTCCTGCTAGGTAGTTTACTAAGCTCAAAAAAATATATAAATATACGCTGATTTACAGACGTGTCTTTTCCCTCTTTCCCAACTCCATTGGCATTTTTAAAGTTAAATTAAAGACCTATCTTTTTAATTTGGGGTAATTTTAGTGGTATCATTGTTTTTGTTGTTTAATGGTTCTCAGATCTAACCCTTTTTGTTGGTTTTTAACTTTTTGTATCACTTTTTATATAACGTTTTTATTTCTGTACCTTCCTATTTGTACTCATTGTTACTGTAATGTATCTTGTCTTGCTCTGTAAAGCATTTTGGGCTGCATCGTGCATGAAAGGTGCTTGATAAATTAAGTGTATTATTATTATTATTTATATTTAAGTCAATGGGAAAGAGTATTTTGGGCCAAAATGACGTCACGGCCGTTGTAGTACCACCATTTGGCCACTACGTTAAACATTCGGCTTCAACGGCCGGCTTGCTACACCGGCCCTGCTGCTAACTCCTTCTTCGCTACCGTTAGCTAGCTGGACGTGGAAAACGCATCCATCTTTCTACAGGATGATGGGTCGAAGTGGCGTTAACTGAGCCGGAATGTAGAGGCTTTCTAGAGGGAATGAAAAGTGGAATTGGCTTACCTTTAATCCCAGCCATTTCTCCTGGACAAAAGCTCGACTCACAGCCCTGACGAATGACAACAGTGCCCCCCCTCCGAGTGAAGCCGAGAGACGCCGAGTCCGACCGAACCTCCTGCAGTGATGCCTTCAGGAGCTAAAATAAAGATCGGAATTATGATACTATCACAGAAACAACCTGATAAAAAAAAATTGAATTATCGTTTGTAGCTTTATTGTTTGTAACCTAAGAGAGGGGAATACGTTTCTCGCAATTACAACTTTGACATAAATTGGTGTCTGACACAAAGAAAGTCTTCATTATTATTATAAGGCAATGTATAAACGATGTTATTACTAACTGCCTACTATGGCAGCTCTACGGATGCCTCACTTTTGTCTATGAAGGCATCATTTGCCCGAATGTAAAAGAAAACAAATATATTATTATTATATGTTACACTATAGAATAAATGTTCATGGTTAATCATGAATCATCTTGTTGACTATTTATTTAATACAAATAAATAAATAAAAGAAATATACAGAATTCTTGTTTACCCGGATGTGTACAGCTTCTACTTCCGCCGACTCTGTGAGCCCATTCAGCGAAGATGGCGAGCGGAGGGATCTCGGTCGCTTCGCTGTGGACCGAAGTGAACCGCTGTGGGCAGAATGGAGACTTTACAAGAGCCCTTAAAGCTGTGACTAAAAGTACGTATTCACATCTTTCCTTGCTACTCTCAAACAAAACCTGTAATTGCTGGTAAACAGTGGAAAAACTGTCGATTTCTTCAGTCGCTGAGCTAGGGCCAACAGCATGACCAGCTGTTAGCATGTGGCTAAGCTAATGGTAGTTACACATGTACTTGTCAGGTCTCTCAAACAAGCAATTAGCTTTGTATGGTAAAAGTATATTCATAAATGTATACTTGAGTGTCGTGGCTACAGATGCATCGAGTGTGTGTAGATTTTACGTGACCTTATAAAGTAGTATTTAGCTGAAGAAATGCGTCGTCCTGTCTTGACTAGTGACGTGTCCCTAGCCTTACAGCTAACTAATCATAATGCTAACCAGCTTTCAGTCAGCTGTCACCAGACCGTTAGAAATGTTTTTTTCTTTCAATAATACTGTTCTCCGTCAGCAGTAAATCAGTCCTTCCTTCTATTATTTAGCCTACTAATGATACAAACATTATAATCAACATACTAGTGTACTGACATTATGAATCTCCTCTCCACTTTCCTTTCATTTTGTATTGGGGTATTTTCATATTATAGTGCAGGTAATATGCACTGTTAATACTTAAGAAGACAACATGTTTTAAGTTTAAATAAGCTGCTTCAATTCACCTATTTTCCTCCTTTTCCTTTCCTTTGTTTTTAATAGTGAACTTAAGTTAAGCTAACTTAATCATTGATGTGTTCTCCGTCTTTCTGATTTGGTGTAATTGTTATAGTGAAGTGATTTTAGGGTTAGGTTTCATCAGGATTCCTTTTCTCAATTCATTATTTCTATTGATTCTCCTTCTTTCTGATTTGGTTTATTTTTATAGAAATACACTTTTTCATGATTAAGCTCTCTTTTTTTTAAGACACACTCTTTGAAAATCTATTTAATCTGCTTTGTTTAATCTTGTTCACAGTTGTGCAAGACAACAGGGAGGATGTGACGGCTCTTCACTGTAAATTAGTTTGCCTCGTTCAGAACGGCAGCTTCAAAGAGGCGCTGAATGTCATGAACACTCATTCAAAACTGCTCGGCGGGTAATATACTATTTCTCTGTTTTTCTTTAATGTTTTGACTCTTATAGACCATATTCAAGTTTATGTGTAGAGCACAGTCTTGTACAAAAGCAGTAAAAAGTGCTTTATAGAGGGGAAAACAAATAATAAATGACATACGCAAATCCTAGCTCTTCCAAAATAGTAACTCACTTGTAACTGCAGCCTACGTTCATTTAATACTCGAGGGGCACAGGCACTGAAGTACTATCAGATATATTTATATAAATACATTTGTCACAACACCTACTTGCTCCCCTATTTAATATACAACCTATACGTTGTTTTAATGCTGTACATTAATGCTAATGTTATCAAAATTGTTCAACAATATACTTAACTGAACACAAGTTTTGCAATGCTTGTTTGATGCTTTACACACAAACAATAACGTGAGTACATGTCCTGCAGTTGGCTCCATCTCCCCACTGAAATAATGTTTATCTCTCTCCTTTCTCAGTGACGTTGTGTTTGAGAAGGCGTACTGCGAGTACCGGCTGAACAGAGTGGAAAGCGCCCTGAAGACCATCGAGTCTGCTCCTGAACAGACAGACAAGCTGAAGGAGCTTTATGGTCAAGTGGTAAGACTAAACGGCATCTAATTATTGCTGGATGTCTTTGATCTGTGGACTTAGCTTTTAAAACCTGTATAGTGAAAGTAGACGGTGTTCCTACCCAGCTCTTTGTTTGTGAATGTGATGGAAAAGCATCAAAACCATAAACGTTTTCTCTCAACCTTGATGTACGTTTTAATTCAAAGACTCCTGCTGATAGTAAGTGTCTCTCTTATTATTTTGCAGCTGTACAGGATGGAGCGCTACGATGACTGCAAGTCCGTCTACACTGATCTGATCAGAAACTCCCAGGACGAGTACGAGGAGGAGAGGAAGACCAACCTCTCTGCTGTGGTGGCGTCTATGAGTCAGTGGGAGGAAGCGCCATTGGTAAGCTCTTTCCACAAAATAAAATAAAAAGTGTAATGTTGTTTGTTTATTTTTCAACACGCATGTATTGTATTATTTGGTTATTAAGAAGATGTGTTGCGTGTTCTGCTACAGGAGGATCTGGGTCTCCCTGAGTCCACGTATGAGCTGTGCTACAACGCTGCCTGCGCTCTGATTGGTCAAGGACAGCTGACAGAGGCGCTCGGGAAACTACAGGAAGCAGAGGGTCAGTCTCTCTCTGATCGGAGTTTCTGTCAGATTTCTATTTGATAAATTCTTTGGTTTGACATGAACTGATTGTCTTTCTTTCACAGAGCTGTGCAGAGTGTCTTTGGCAGAGGATTCTGTGAGTGCTGCTTTTGGTTTTATCAAGCCTTATTCATTATTGGTAGAAGATGCTTGTAGATGATGATGTGATGCACTATGTATGTAAATTGATGTCGAAAGATAATCAAGTGGACAATAATGAATATGGATTCTTAATATATGTAAACAAAGAAGTGTGAAAGGCAATAATCTTGTAGAATTGTTTTATCTTGAGAGAAGTTGCGTGGGTAAATCAGCCGCCACATTTCTAAATACCCCAAAAGAGAAACAAGAAGAATATATACAAATGAATTAAATATGGTGTTTTTCTTTGGACTAAATGCACAACAAAGCCCATGCTTGTCTTCAATACCCTCCTGATAATCACTGTCGTTGTTGTTTTGTCCCTCTCAGGATGTGACTGAGGAGGACATCGAGTCAGAGCTCGCTGTCATCCATTCTCAGATGGCGTACGTCATGCAGTTACAGGGCCGGACGGACGAGGCTCTGCAGCTCTACAACCAGGTCATCAAGCTCAAGTGAGTGAATCAAAAGCAGAGAAATGATGTAGCACATGTTAAATGAATATAGTCTATCCTAGTTCAAATGTGTTGTGTGATTGTAATTGTATGGACATGCCTGTTAACTTGTTACTGGTATAGATGTACACAAGTCAATACATAAGCTGTGAGTTTTTAGTACGTGAACAGTGGAGCTGTTAAATGATATAAAATATTCCATGCTCTTAATTCGCAGGCCATCAGACGTGGGGCTGCTCGCTGTGACTGCCAACAATATCATTACAATAAACAAGGTGAGTGTTTGACGCTCAAACATTTACATGCACAAAATATTCCACGTTCTGCCCTGATTCAGGAAAAGATAACATTACTACTAAGCCTGTTACATCAAAAATGACGAAAGGGAAAAAGGACAAGGACATCCCTCTGTTGGAGGGGCAAAAGAGTCTGGTGGGATTATTTTCGCCGCCAGCAAAGCGTGTTCCTGTGACGGAAAGTGTACTGCCGGCGAGCCTTGGCGGGGGGTGCTAGTGGAGCACGCGCGTGAACTGCGAGCGCCGGAGCCTCGCAGCGGCAAAACTGAGGCTCTGTGGTAAACTGAAGAGCCGTTTAGGAGCCGAGAGAGCCGGCTCTTCTTACTGACTAGTCACTAAAAAGAGCCGGAATTCCCATCACTAATACGTAAAGAGATAGTATCTATAAGGGACAGCTCAATTCAAAATTCAAGACACGTGACACGACGTGACGTCACACCCCCCCCCCCCCCCCCCCCCCCCCCCTCGCTCTCGGGGTGGACGCCCTCTCAGCCCTGGTCTGGCGGAAACACTGCATGCTCATAAAACTATCTGCATAGGACATTTGGAATAAGCCAACGTAGGATAAGTGAATCATGTTTTAACATAACCCTGAAAATGTTGTCATATACGGAATTATAGAGCACTACAAGTGTTGCATGCAAACATAGTACATTTTGCTAATATTTCATCATAAATCATAGGCAAAATACTACTTTAATTGAATGTGTTTTAATGAAAGCTGTCTGTTTCCGTAGGACCAAAACGTGTTTGACTCTAAGAAAAAGGTGAAGCTGACGAACGCTGAAGGTGTGGAGTTCAAGCTGGCCAAGAAGCAGCTGCAGGCCATCGACTTCAACAAATCCCTGCTGGCCATGTACACCAACCAGGTAGATGAAGGGCTGTTACATTCACATCAAGAGGAGAACAGGAATGGCTGACTTCTCAGAATGTGAGACCCCGTTACTGATCAGGATCATGTGTGTGCATTAACATCCACAGGCTGAGCAGTGCAGGAAACTGTCGTCCAGTCTCCAGGCTCAGAACCCGGGTCACCCCCGGCCGGTCCTGATCCAGGTGGCTCAGCTGTGCCGAGAGAAGCAGCACAGCCGGGCCATCGAGCTGCTGCAGGTACATAACATCAGCACTTTTGAAACAGAGGGGATTATGGGATGCTGCAATGATCTGTTTGGTATTTGGAGCCAAACACTTCAGAGACATGTTGTGTATATATCTGAGAACTATAATATATTGATGAAAAACAGTATAATAGACGACCT